ATTATCCACTTTTTAAGAAAGGAACATAAACGAACACTAAACTATAGACCAAGTCACTGACGTGTATACTTGCAGTGCCATGGAGAAATTATCAGAGGAGAGGGTGGAGCACCTGGAAACCCAGAACAAAGTTTAAAACAAAATCAGCGGGGGATTCGGGAAGAAAAATCCTGTGTTCAAACCTTCTGGATTTTTAAAAAAAGAAAACAAATAAGACAGGGAAGAGGGGATGGGTTGATTGCTTTTTCCCTAGACTGCGGAAAGGGCCTTTCACATTTCCCCCTCACTAGATCAGTGCAGAAGCTGAGATCCGGGCGCTACAACAAGAAGGCCACTGAAAATCTATCGGGAAATCCCTACAGGGAACAACAACGATCAGGGTACTATGAGGTATCACAGGGGGCGCCTGTGCGGGGGGGTCCCACGGGGGTCATCCTAGGACCATGCTTTTTTGGTAATTGAATGACATGAGGGAAAGATAACCAAAGTGTCCCTGTTCGCAATGGTGTAAGTTAATGAGGAGAATTAACTGGGGATCAGGTAAGACTACAAAGAGACCTGACAGGCGGACACGTGGTTCAGCAACGGCTTTCTCAAATTTAAACCCCCCAAATGAAAAGCCCAGTAAAATGGGGAAGGGAAAGAAAACCCACAAGTAAAAGGCTAGGCCAAAGATTGCAAACCTCACCAAGGAAAGATTTTCGGGTTAGCAAAACATGACATTCTCCAACCAAACATCCCCCGAAAACTGCGCCCCCATAGGGGCACAGGGCAAACCTGAAATGGTTTTCCGTTACCAAATAAATAATCGTTCAAGACCGTACACTGTGTACTCAGGCCCAATGGAGTATGCCCCAGTTTGCAACCCACACCTGGTCAAACAAGCAAGAAATTGGGGAATAAAAGTTTTGCAAAAAGGGTTTTAGTTCCGAGCTCAGGGAATGTCTTACGAAGAAAGGTTGGGGGAAATCCCTGACGACGCTGGGGGCAGGGGGGTCAGGGACACAGAAAACACTTAAAAAAAACTCGTTGAATAATAAGGTGGACAGAACAGGATGTTCCGGGGGGGGACACAAAAACAGGGGTCACAATTGAAGCTGAAGACTCAGATGAGAAAAAGGGAGTTAGGTTTTACTTCTTCATCATAAAGTTGTCAGGAAGGGGAAGTCTAGAAAGTAATATAGTGGAGGAGGGGAAACCCAAAATTTCTTTAAGACGAGTATGACAAAGCTAAGGAGCAGAAGAGAGAGGACCTAGCTCATCAGTGAAGAGGGGGCCAGGGGCTGGTCCCACCCCTGCAACCACAATTTAAAGGGGAGTGCGCAAAACACACACACCACACCCATACATTCACAAGTCCTGGCGGGGCCCGGGGCTTGGACTCGACCCCCCAACCTCAACTGTGGTTTAAAAGGAAGTACACACACACCCCACACACAGCACGCACGCACATACATATGCACACACACACAAAAACACAACACACACACAACACACACACACACACACCACACACACACATGTACACACAAAATACACACCCTACACACACATATACACGCAAAAAACAGGGGAAAGGAAATTACAAACAAAGCAGCGAACTAAATACGAGCTTTGTAGAAGAACTAAAAGGGGCTGAAACAGCCTAAAAACCAAGGACAGTACAGCTATGCACCAAAAAAGCTACTACATCAGTCACCCAGACGGACAGTAGGGACAAAGGAGATATATGTATGCGATGACCCTTGGACCCAAGGGGTGCCGGGAAAAGGCAGGGGGAACAGCAAGAACTAAAGAAGGATGGGAAAACGAAAAAATGTGAGGAGGGGAGTAAAGAACAAAGGGGTTTCCCCCGACATCGTAGCATTACAGAAAAAAAACTCCTGCGATAAAAACAGAGCAATCTTTCCACCCCCAATCAATCCTACAAGGATAGAAGGAGCAGATGGGGGGGAGGGGTTGCACTACTAAAAAAAACCGGTGGGGTTTTCAAGAAATGGGAAGGGGATACAGACTGGGGAAAGGGATTACATGTAGTACATTCAGTCAGGGGGAACACAAGGAGTCATTGCAGTTATGTATAACCCCCCACAAACTCAGGAGGCCAAAGAGGGAAAAAAGTTTGCAACAGGCAAGGGGGACACTCTAGCTGAGGCGGGAAGAAGGGGTCACCAAGTAACGAAGTTACTGGTCTGGGCACTTCAATCACAGGAACTGATTGGGAAAACCTGGAGCCACATGGGGTCCCGAAACTGGAGAGCCAACAGATGGAGTGGTGCTGGCAAAACTCATCACCAAAAATTTTTGGGATACACCAGAGAGAAGGGGAGGGTGAACCAGCAAGACTGGACCCCAGGTTTTTACAAATGAGAGTCAGACATTGAACACATCAAAGAAAGGCCCCTTTTAGCTAGTGACCACTAAATTATGAGCTTTTAATACTCGTGGAGCTAAACTGGAGAGGGAACCGGGGTAAAAAGGGAAAAGCAAACTATAAAAGGGGGGACTACACAGGAATGAGGACCTTCCTGCAGGGGGTTCAGTGGGAACAGGGGTTGGAGGAAAATCAAAAAAACGAAATGATGGACTTTTTAACAACAAAAGCAAAGAGGCAGAGGAAAGGTTTGTTCCAAAGGGTTTAAAAAAATAATGGAAGGATTGAACGAGCCCCTTGGTTTACCCGAAGGGCAGGGAGGCAAAAACTAAGTACCAGAGAATGGAAAAAGTACAGAAGGCAAAGGGCCAGGAGAATAAAAAATTTGCGACGACCAAAACGAGTATGCACAGATAAGAAGGGAGGTGCAGCGGCAGTATGAAAATGACATAGCATCGAAATCAAGTCCCCCCCGAAACTACTCTACAGCCCATGGGGGAAGACAACCAAGGAAGGTAATCAGGCTGAGGAAAAAAGGTGGGGACTTACAAAAAACTACCCGGAGGGATGCGAGGGGCTCAAAATGAGATTCAGGAAGTATTTACAGTGGAGGCTGAAGGGGGCAAAGGGAAGATAAAACGTGGGGTACAGCAAAATGGATAACCAACAAGTGTTGGAAGAATTACACACAACTGAGGGGAGGGGGAGAAGCTCCTAATGAAACCTTTAATCTCAAAGGGGGTGGGACGGACTCTCCCTTTCCCTTTGAGAGGGAGCGGGCCCAATGTGCCACAACCAAAACTTCAACATTCCCTTGAAAAGGGCAACTTACCTGAATATGGAAGAAGGGAAAAGTTCCCCATCTTTAAGAAGGGGGAAAAAAATGAAGCAAAAAAATTATAGACCATGTCACTGACTTTCAAATATCAAAGTCCTTGGAAAAAATTTCAGAGGAGAGTGGTGGAGCACCTGGACAGAACAAGATTTTAAAACGACAGCCAGCACGGATTCATGAAGGCAAAACCTGGTTTACAAACCTACTAATTTTATGACAAGGGAACTGAAACAAAAGAAGGGGGGGTGGGGTTTATTTTCATTTTATTTGGGCTGCAAGAAGGGTTCGCACGTTTCATTTCACATAGGAAGTACGAACTAGAGGAACAGGCACGTAAAAAAAAGGAAGGCCACTGCAATGGACGAGAATACCTAAAAAGGGAGCAACACGATCATGGGCCGTGATGAGTATCACAGTGGGCGCCAGTGACGAGCGGGTTCCCACAGGGGCATCCTGAGACCAGTGCTATTTTTGGTAATGTAACACATGACGGGAAAGGGGTAACTCAAAGTGTCCCTGTTTACAGATGACGTAAGTTAATGAGGGGAATAAATCAACGCAGACCAGACAGGTCTCAAAGGACCTGGACAGGCTGGGTGTGTATCCCCAAAAAATGGGTCCTAGAAAAAAACCCCCCCCAAATGCAAAGTCATGAAAACGAGAAGGGGAAAGTAACCGAAACAATACAGGGCCCCAGGCCAAAGGCTGCAAACCCCCTCAAGGAAAAAAGACCTAGGGTTGAGTATTTCCGATACATCGCCAGAAGCACACATTAACCAGATAACTGCTGCGGCATATGGGCGCTTGGCAAACCTGAGAATAGCGTTCCGGTACCTCAGTAAGGAATCGTTCAAGACTTTATACACTGTGTACGTCAGGCCCATACTGGAGTATGCAGCACCAGTTTGGAGCCCGCACCTGGTCAAACAAGTCAAGAAATTAGAGAAAGTGTAAGGTTTGCAACAAGGCTAGTTCCAGAGCTAAGGGGAATGTCCTATGAAGAAAGGTTAAGGGAAATCGGTCTGACAACACTGGAGGACAGGAGGGTCAGGGGAGACATGATAACGACATACAAAATACTGCGTGGAATAGACAAGGTGGACAGAGACAGGATATTCCAGAGATGGGACACAGAAACAAGGGGTCACAATTGGAAGCTGAAGACTCAGATGAGTCAAAGGGATGTTAGGAAGTATTTCTTCAGTCATAGAGTACTTAGGAAGTGGAATAGTCTGGCAAGCGATGTAGTGGAGGCAGGAACTATACATAGTTTTAAGACAGGGTATGATAAGCTCATGGAGCAGGGGGAGAGAGGACCTAGTAGCGATCGGGTGAAGAGGCGGGGCCAGGAGCGAGTCTCGACCCCTGCAACCACAATTAGGTGAGTAGGTGAGTACCCAACACACACACACACACACCACACACACACACCACACACACACACACACACACGGCGCGCGCACACACACACAACACACACACACACACACACACACACACACGACACGCACCACACACAACCACACACATACACACACACATATACACACCACACAACACACACACAACAACACACACACACACACACACACACACACACACACACATACACATACACACACACACGCACACACACACACACACACACACACACACACACACACACACACACACACACACACACACACACACACACAAGCACACACACACTCACACTAACAACGTACACGTCACAGGATGAGTATGTAGCTCATAATAAATACATTAAACTGACGTCTCTGGTCCCAACAGCTGGAGATCACGTCAAGTTCGGCTTCCCCATGTCCTACACGGCCACTGTGCTCGCCTGGGGACTTATCGACTTCGCTGACGGATACGAGGCAGCAGGTGGGTCCTCGTCAATTAATAATATCAGTCTCATAATAAAGAACCGCACAAAACCGAACAAAACATAAGTGACGTGTATTGCATGGTTTTAATTTCGTCTTCTATCATTAATAATTTATTGTTGCATAAACGTTTTGCAATGCTAAGACAACACACGTTTATTGGGACAACGTTTTACTGTGTGCTGCCTTATCAAGTTATGACTTGATGCTTTACACAGAACGAAACGGTGTCTTGATAAAAGTTTTTTACGAAACGTGTTTTTTTTTCACTTTTTTTTTTTTTTTTGGTAGAATGCTTGTCCTTTCATTCGTCAGGAAAAACCATCACCTGACACCAACCTTAATCATATGAAGACTCGCTCAGTGATTGATTAACAGTCATTAGTTGTGATCTTAAAATTGCTGAAACACTTCTGACAGTTTTACTGAATGTAGCAGAGCCCTTGGTTCTCTTTACTGTAAGTTGTCACGGGGATGAATATGAGGATGAAACACGCAAAAATCTGTGGCAATCATTCCCGGGAATGCTAAAGAATCGGTGATTGGTTTTAGATGGATCCCGATTCAATGGTGGTGGCAGTAGAAGGTGATCTCTTAGTGGCAATGTCACCTGGCAGTTTAGCAGTCAGAAAATCACGAAGCTGTCATGGGATACCTATGTTAAAGCATCTGTTCCTTCAGGTCAGACTGCTTACGGTAAGGAGGCGGTCAAGTGGGCCACAGACTACTTCCTGAAAGCCTACACCTCCCACTGGGAGTTCTACGGACAGGTGAGAGACCCTTGTTTTCTGGGTAGTGTTCGTGAACCACGGATGCTCCCCTGCAGATGATTACTCGAATTCAATACTAAAGTATTCGATAATGCATTTATGTACACATATATATACATGTAAAGGAATATGTAAGTGTATGACTATATCGCTCTACTCATGTACTCTTGACTTCATGTCCCCTTGACTTCAAGTATCCCCGGCTTCATGTACCCCTGAATTCACGTACCCACAGGTGGGCGAAGGAGGCATTGACCACGGTTACTGGGGGCGCCCTGAAGACATGTACATGTCACGACCATCGGCCAAGATTGACGAACAAGCCCCAGGTAAAGGACTCCTCGCTTTCTAACCACTCTTACTATTACTGCTACTATTACTATTACTATTACTATTCTAACTATTACTGTTCCCATTACACTGTTACAAACCGGACTTTGTGTTATCACTATAACTCTTACTGCTACTGCTACAGCTGTTGCTGTTACCACTATTAATATTGTCACTATTAATATTATTCTTGCTTTTACAACAAGAGGTGTACCTGCACCTGATACCAAAACTATAATTATTACTACAGCTGAAGCTGCTGCTAGTACTACTCTTACTAGTACTACTACTACTACTACTACTACGTAGTAGTAGTAGTAGTAGTAGTAGTAGAGTAGCAGTAGTAGTACTAGTAGTAGTACACTATGACTACTGTTACTACTACTACTACTACTACTACTAATAATAATAATAATAATAATAATAATAATAATAATAATAATTGAAGAAATGTAGCAAGTTTTTCACCTATTTCTAGACATCAACACTATTAGGAGTAGTAGTAGTAATAGTAGTAGTAGTAGTAGCAGTAGTAGTAGTAGTGATGGCATATTTACAGAGAAGAATTAAACCCGTAAAGATCATACGGCACCTGGAGAATAAGGGTGGAGGTGTTTAACCAAGGAAGGGGAACGTGGCTCCATTTCCTTGAATCAAGAACCTCTTTATAGCATCAAGGCAATTTTCCTTGAAAGGAGTAACATCAATGCAAACCCCGTGTTGTGTCCTCTCACAGGGTCACTACTGACCCCGTGTTTTCTCCTCCCACAGGGTCAGAACTGGCTGGCGAGACTGCTGCTGCCTTTGCTGCCGCCTCCATACTCTTTGAAGTAAGGTCACTATCCTCTTGAATTTTACTTTCCCTCTGAAGTAAAGTAGCTGAATTCTCTCGAGTTCCCTTTCCCTTTGAGGTAAGATCACTGAATCTTATTTAATTCTCCACTATCTCTGATATAAGGTTAATGAATCCTCTTCTGTTCCCCCATCGTCTTTAAGTTGAGGTCACTAAGTACCTTGGATCCTCCATCTTTTCAGAAAAGAGGTTATGAATCCTCTTAAATCCCTCTCATCCGAGGAACAATGTCATTTCTAACAAGCATTTCAATCCTCATTGAGTTTATTAGCACCAAATAAAGAGGGAGTCCACGTCGCTCAATGGTAAATATTGCAAAACATGTTTAAGTAAGATTTGAGGGCCTTGGAAGGTGTTTGAGATAAGTTCAAGTGAGAGATATGGTACTACACGGAAGAGGCAGATAACAGAACTTAACTGTCAGTAAAATACTTGGGTATCCTTATCGAACAAACGTTTCGCCAGTTTCTTTTTTCAGTTATAAAAATGATGGTTTAGTAGCAGTACTGCAAAGTAATAGAAGAAACCTCGTGCAGCGCCATTTATACTAAGATGAGCAGATTTTAAAAATACAGACACAAGAATTATTTTTTTTTAAACTGAGGCTCTCTTGTAATAAGCTACTTATTACATAATTCGTTTCTTACTTTTATTTATAAATGTCGTTCAGTTTCAGAAACATTACTAGATATGTATATATATATATATATATATATATATATATATATATATATATATATATATATATATATATATATATATATATATATATATATATTATTATATATATATATTCACGTACTTGTAGAAATAAAGATTATTAATATTTTAATATGGTAGCCTATTTAAACACAAGAGGCAAATATGAATTAAATCTAGCGAGGTCGTGAGTCTTTAACAGGAACAAGAAATGAAAAGAGAGAATAATGTACATCAGTAAATATGATGAGAAATCTTAAGGATAAAAAAACGTGACAGAGCAAATATAAAAAAGACAAGAAAAGAACCTGATAATGCTATGTGTCACCTGTCACTCCCGCAGAAGGAGGATCCCAGTTATGCCTCCACGATGCTGGAGACAGCCAAGGAGTTGTACGACTTTGCTGACCAGAAGCGAGAGAACTACCACAACTCCATCACTGACGCTGCTGCCTTCTACAGGTATGTACACCTTACATCACCCGCTGCCCTCCTGAAGCGACAGAATTATCCACTGCCCTCCTGAAGTGAAAGAACTACCCACTTCCCTCCTGAAGTGTCACGTCCAACCATATTCCCCTATATAACTAGGAGATTAACTCATAAACAATCTACTGTATGCACTGTCCAGGCTATCACCAACGGTCTGGGTGTTCAGAAACTGGGTTGTAATTAGAGGATGGAGGATCGAGCCTTCACAAGTTTTCGTGCTCAATGACATACACATACAAACCAGCAAATATAGCATCCCCACACCATTGAGAGCTGATCATTTCCACCAACTTTAGCTACATACTAACTCTCAGACAGCACATCAACCATACTTCGTCACACTAAAAACACTGCAACCCATTCTCGCACCACCAGTGACAATCGCGCAGATTTGAACGCTTCCTGGTTACCTCCGGCCACCTCTTTGCCAGGACCTTTTGACACTGACCAACCTCACCACCATAAGTAAATAGTTTGATTCCCTGGTAGATCAAGACGAATATGCCAGTCTCCCTGAACCTTCTATCCCTATTCACCTAGCTGCAAATATGTACATGGCTGTTAGTCGACTGTTGTGGGTTATTAGAGAATGCTGAACTTTGAAACGAGCTGAGGTAGAATTGCAACCCTTTTTTGCCTGTAGAAGGTATGTATAAAAAATGTCACAATATCTTTTACACCATAACCAACTAGACTATGACCTGACTATCTTAATCTGGTTCACAGGTCGTGGAGCGGCTATGGGGACGAACTGGCCTGGGCTGCCCTGTGGCTCAACAGGGCAACTGGAGACGCGGCCTACCTGACGAAGGCACAGGAACACTGGGACGAGTTCAACCTGGGAGAGGACGCTGTCCAGTTCGCTTGGGATGACAAGAAGGCTGGAGTCTACGTAAGTATCTAATGAAGAAAAGATAAAGTGTGTGTATCTACATATTTGTAATGAATGGTTTGAAAAACCGGCAAGTTTAAGATTGAGACACTTATGCAACATATGGGAATCTTTATTCAGAAAACGTTTCGCCAAACAGTGGCTTCATCAGTCCAATACAGAGTAGAAAGGCGTAAGGAGAGGAGGAGTTTGAGGTAATCAGTCCCTCAGCCTGGAGTCGATGTGTTCAGTCCATCAATCTTGTAGAATGTACAGCATAGGGCAGTAGACGTGGCTTATATACTGTAGTGAGGTGAGGTGAAGCAGGCGGAGGCGGGGTCATAGTGGTACCATCCACTAGTCGAAGTAGGTCTTCGTCCGAAGGTTGAACAAGTGTTGAAGAATTCTTTGTAAGAAGATCCCATGATGCTGCAGTGTCTGACAGTTGTGATGAATGGTTTGAAAAACCGACAAGTTGAAGGTTGAGCACTTATGCAACATATGGAATCTTTATTCGGAAACGTTTCGCCACACAGTGGCTTCATCAGTCCAATACAAGTAGAAAGGCGTAAGGAGAGGAGGAGTTTGAGGTAATCAGTCCCTCAGCCTGGAGTCGATGTGTTCAGTCCATCAATCTTGTAGAATTGAGGGATGATTTCCTCAAACTCCTCCTCTCCTTACGCCTTTCTACTTTGTATTAGACTGATGAAGCCACTGTGTGGCGAAACGTTTCCTGAATAAGAACATAAGAACATAAGAACGAAGGAACACTGCAGAAGCTCTACTGGCCCATGCAAGGCAGGTCCAAGTCTCCTACCGGCTTAAGCCAATGCACCCAACCTAGTCAGGTCAGGTCACATTGACTTAAGGGAGGAACACGGCAACCGACCTGGTAGCACAAGCTATCAGGTCTAACTCACACCCACCCACATCCACTCATGTATCTATCCAACCTATTTTTAAAGCTACACAACGTTCTGGCTTCTATAACGGCACTCGGGAGTTTGTTCCACTCATCCACAACTCTATTACCAAACCAGTACTTTCCTATATCCTTCCTGAATCTGAATTTTTCCAACTTTAAAACCATTGCTGCGAGTCCTGTCTAGGCTAGATATTTTCAGCACACTATTTACATCCCCTTTATTTATTCCTGTCTTCCATTTATACACCTCAATCATATCCCCCCTAATTCTACGTCTTTCTAGAGAGTGCAGTTTCAGGGCCCTCAGTCTATCCTCATAGGGAAGGTTTCTGATACATGGGATCAACTTTGTCATCCTCCTTTGTACATTTTCCAGAGAATTTATATCCATTCTGTAATACGGTGACCAAAAAACTGTGCAGCATAATCTAAATGAGGCCTAACCAAGGATGTATAGAGTTGAAGAACAACCTGAGGACTCCTATTATTTATGCTTCTTGATATGAGCCAAGGATTCTATTAGCTTTATTGCGAACACTTATGCACTGTTGTCTTGGTTTCAGATTACTGCTAACCAGAACTCCTAAATCTTTTTCGCAATCCGTAATATTAAGATCTACATTATTTAGTTTATATGTGGCATGGTTATTGTCCTGTCCAACATTTAGAACTTTGCATTTGTCTATATTAAACTGCATCTGCCACTTCTCCGACCACTGCATTAGTCTATTCAAATCTTCCTATGTTGCATAAGTGTCTCAATCTTCTACTTATTTGTAGCTACAGGAGCAAAACTGTTTAATATTCATTTAATCTTACGTTATTATTTTTAAATTTCCAATGGCTACAGTATTTCCTCCTATTGTAATCTAGTCCATTATGCCACCACTATTCCTTATGTTTGCTTGTGATGAGGAATATACAGTGTTAGGGAGAGACAGAAGTACGCTACCGGACCAGTTGCACTGCAATATCTCCACAGGCGCTGGGCTCACTAGTGGATCCTGACAACACTCAGTACGAGACAGCCCTCAAGGCCTTCCTGCATTACTGAAGACCGAGGCTCAGTACACTCCTAAAGGGCTCGTCTTCTCGACACCTGGGGTTCCAACCGCCATGCAGCCAATGTTGCTTTCATCTCCCTCTGGGTAGGTGCACAAACCCTCTCTACCTCACGATAAGTGCATCAATACCGTGACAACAACAATTTACATCTAATCCGCTCATTGGAGTTTGTAACTAGACGACGTTTCAGTCTTCCGCTGATTATTACAAAATCCGCACAATTGGTAATGATCAATGTGAATCATTTTCAGTTAGTGGTTAAGTTTTGAGTTTTTTATTAAGTGGCGATTGGGGAAAAATAAGTAATCTCTTTTTACCTTTATTTTCACATGCTTTTCTTCCACCAGGCTGCCAAATACGGAGACCAGGCTGACGCCCAGGCAACATCGAGTGGGCCAGGGGACAGATGAACTACATCCTGGGTGACGTAGGTCACTCCTTCGTTGTCGGCTTCGGCGTAGACCCGCCACAGCGACCTCACCATCGCTCCAGGTAATTTTGACATGATAAATAAAACTATCAACACCACTAGAGAAACGTAGATCAAGAGGAGACATGATCATTTACCTTCAATATATAAATAACCCGCACATCGGAGAATGAAACTTATGACGACGTTTCGGTCCGACTTGGGTCATTAAATGGACCATTAATAGTGAAGTCGGACCGAAACGTCGTTCAAAAGGTTCGTTCTCCCAAGTGCTGGTTATTTGTGTATTGTTCTAGTCACGATATTGTGCCTTTTTATTCATTGCATTCAAAATACTAAAGAAAATAAAAAGAATGATAAATGAGTGTCCAGATGTTACAGCTGTCACTAAACTTTCCTATATTATTGCCTGAGGACTTGATTATTGAGAATGTGATATTTTTAAAATATCCAATGAAATCTCTACTCTCATTTGTTTGGTCAGCTCGTGTCTATTCCTCCGGATTCGTGTACCGACGGCTGGGCTCAGAGTCAGCCTGGACCGGACCCTCACGTCCTTACGGCGCCTTGGTCGGTGGACCAGCTCAGGTCAGTGTGCGTGTGTCTCGCTACAAGGGTTCTCTTAGGTCTGTGTTCGTAGAGGCGCTCACTGCTAAGTACCAGGGCTCTCTTGGGTCAGTTTGAGTTCTGGAACGCTTACGCTCACTACGAGGGCTCTCTTGGGTCATGTGTGAGTGTTGAAGAGCTTACTGCTCACTTCCAGAGCTCTTTTTGTTGGTAGATCTTGCCAGGCTTATTGCTCATAAGCTGTTTTAGTGCGTTCTTCAAAACTATGCAAATATAAAAGTAACGCTGAAAGTTCTGTCTCTGAAGCATTTTATCCTGAATTCACTCACTAAGCCTTCCGAGTGAAGCACTGAACATTCAGACTGGAACATTAAACCTTTAAACTGAAACACTAAACTTTGAGACCAAGTCACTAAATCTTCAGATCGAGACACAAAGTCTCAAACTGTGACACAGTAAACCTTCAGACTGAAACAATAAACTTTCAGATTCTGAAACCCATTTGTGACCCTTGAAGCACTATTTTCCTAATCTTCCTTCACCTACTCAGTGGGGAAAGGAAAGCGTCTTGTGTGTGTGAACCTCTCTTCAAGCTTAATTTTTAATTCAAACTTCATTACCTTAAAAAACTAGCGATTCCCAGTAAATATACTACTACTACTACTACTACTACTACTACTACTACTACTACTACTACTAATAATAATAATAATAATAATAATAATAATAATAATAATAATAATAATACGCTATTTTCCTCAGGACGACCCCTACACAGACGACAGGATGGACTACACTCACAATGAAGTCGCTTGCGACTACAACGCTGCCTACTCAGGAGCACTGGCTGCCCTCATTGAGATTAACTAATCGAGTCATACACAGCAGAAGTACAATAGACCGGCTTTCTATCTAATAAGTAAATGCAAGAGATTCTTATAGGTGGAAATTTTATGCAATAGATCTGGTTACTAGCTAGAAGTGCTCTAATTCACCATCTTTGCCTGCTAGTTTACACAGTCTACCTTTCTAACTAGAAGTACACACAAACTGACACCTTCTAGCTAGAAGTATACACAATAGATAATTTTTATCGAATAAGAGTACAATAGAGAGAGACGTACTCCCCAAAAGGCAAGAGTACACATAATAGATGAGCTTACCAGCTAGAAGTATACCTTGCCAACTAGTATACTCAATAACTAGAAGTACCACAATTTGACCACCTTTCAAGATAAAAGTTACACAATAGATCACTGTACTAGCTAGAAGTACACACAATGGCTAGTAGTAGAAGACCTATAACAGACAACCCTTATTTACTAGAATACCACTCTTTCTAGCAGAAGTTGAAAATAATCCATATAATTGTTGATAATGGGCAAGGAGGTAACCCCAGGGGACTGTCATACTGCGCAACAGGAATGTGAAGCAATGAGGTTTGATCTAAGAACTGGGATCAAGACCCTCTCAAAACGGCATAAAGGCACCCCTCATCTCGAGGGAGGGAAAAAGTGCTTTTTTTATAGCTAGATCTTTTTGCCAATAGATAATAAAATCCACTGTAGGGGACGACTTAATTAAAGTCTTTAGTGAGTGATTTGTTTTAATTTCTTAACCTAAATAACTGGGCTACTGATTATTAATTTGTTTAATTGTTCTCGTTAATTATTTATTCATTGGCATTGATCATATGATTCATATTATTTATAATTTCCATCTTCACATTAATCATACTCTTCATGTTCATATTAATCATACTCTTCATGTTCATATTAATCATACTCTTCATGTTCATATTAATCATACTCTTCATGTTCATATTAATTATACTCTTCATGTTCATATTAATCATACTCTTCATGTTCATATTAATCATATTCTAAATGTTCATATTAATTATACTCTTCATGTTCATATTAATCATACTCTTCATGTTCATATTAATCATACTCTTCATGTTCATATTAATCATATTCTTCATACTCATATTAATCATACTCTAAATGTTCATATTAATCATATTCTAAATGTTCATATTAATCATACTCTTCATATCATATTAATCATACTCTTCTATTCATATTAATATTACTTTTCTTTATTCATATTAATCATACTCTTATATTCATATTAATCATACTCTTCATATTCATATTAATCATACTTTTCATATTCATATTAATCATACTTTTCATATTCATATTAATCATACTCTTCATATTCATATTAATCATACTTTTCATATTCATATTAATATATCTTCATATTCATATTAATCATACTCTTCATGTTCATATTAATCATACTCTTCATATTCATATTAATCATACTCGTCATATTCCTATTAATCATACTTTTCATGTTCATATTAATCATATTCTTCACATCCATATTAATCATACTCGTCATATTCATATTAATCATGCTCTTCATATCCATATTAATCATACTCGTCATATTCATATTAATCATACTCTTCATATTCATATTAATCATACTCTTCATATTCATATTAATCATACTTTTCATATTCATATTAATCATACCTCTTATTCATATAATCATACTTTTCATATTCATATTAATATATCTTCATATTCATATTAATCATACTCTTCATGTTCATATTAATCATACTCTTCATATTCATATTAATCATACTCGTCATATTCCTATTAATCATACTTTTCATGTTCATATTAATCATATTCTTCACATCCATATTAATCATACTCGTCATATTCATATTAATCATGCTCTTCATACCCAAATTTTAAATTTCAAAACCGTCATATTCATATTAATCATACTCTTCATATTCATATTAATCATACTCTTCATATTCATATTAATCATACTTTTCATATTCATATTAATCATACTCTTCATATTCATATTAATCATACTTTTCATATTCATATTAATCATACTCTTCATATTCATATTAATCATACTCTTCATATTCATATTAATCATACTTTTCATATTCATATTAATCACACTTTTCATATTCATATTAATCATACTCTTCATATTCATATTAATCATACTTTTCATATTCATATTAATCATACTCTTCATATTCATATTAATCATACTCTTCATGTTCATATTAATCATACTCTTCATATTCATATTAATCATACTCGTCATATTCCTATTAATCATACTTTTCATGTTCATATTAATCATATTCTTCACATCCATATTAATCATACTCGTCATATTCATATTAATCATGCTCTTCATATCCATATTAATCATACTCGTCATATTCATATTAATCATACTCTTCATATTCATATTAATCATACTCTTCATATTCATATTAATCATACTTTTCATATTCATATTAATCATACTCTTCAAAATTCATATTAATCATATGTTCATATTCATATTAATCATACTTTCATATTCATATTAATCATACTCTTCATATTCATATTAATCATACTTTTCATATTCATATTAATCATACTCTTCATATTCATATTAATCATACTCGTCATATTCATATTAATCATACTCTTCATATTCATATTAATCATATCCTTCTATTCATATTAATCATACTTTTCATATTCATATTAATTCATACTCTTCATATTCATATTAATCATACTCTTCATATTCATATTAATCATACCTCTTCATATTCATATTAATCATACTGTCATATTCATATTAATCATACTCTTCATATTTATATTAATCATACTCTTCATATTCATATTAATCATACTCTTCATATTCATATTAATCATACTCTTCATATTCATATTAATCATACTCTTCATATTCATATTAATCATACTCTTCATATTCATATTAATCATACTCTTCATTATTCATATTAATCATACTCTTCATATTCATATTAATCATACTCTTCATATTCGTATTATTCATACTCTTCATATTCGTATTAATCATACTCTTCGTATTCGTATTATTCATACTCTTCATATTCGTATTAATCATGCTCACGTGGTCACGAGAGGTCATCCTGTCCTAAGCTGTCTGGCAGGGGAATGATTTTCTATTTTTTAGCTAACATACGTGTAAATTTTACCTTATTCCTAGTAATGACCCTCGTGTTGTAGATAGTCTTAATGACCCTCGTGTAGTAGATAGTCTTTTTAGTATGATAATAAGATGTTATCTTCATTATAGAATAATAAGAAAATATTATAACCTTTATATTATAATAATAAGGTAAAAGGACCCCAATGGAAATAAGTCACTCTGTCTGACTTTTTTGGGTTATCCCAGGTTCTCTACACATATGCTGCTATGTATGATAATTCTATGTAACTGTATTTGTGTATACCTGAATAAACTTACCTACTTACTTACTTAATTAGCATAGGGCGTTACCGATCACCATGGCTTGCTGTAGCATTTTAAAATCTCAGGTTAAAATGTTGAAGAAGGAGGTTCTACATCTTCAGGAGGAAAATAAGAGGTTGAAGCTTTGCTTAGATGGGTTTGGGGGTGAGTGTGAGATGGTTGGAGCTGGTGAGAAGGAAAAGGTTACCAGCAGTGAGCTGTAGAGTGGCAGAAGCTTTAAGTGGCAAGTGGTTCACAATTCAGGAAGAAGGAAGATAAGGAAGGTCAATAGAGAAGATGTGAAGGCAGGAAATCGATTCTCTGTTCTCCAGGATGAGTGTACTTCAGTGGTTAGTGAGGTTAAGGGTACGACTGACTCCACTGCTAATCATGGTAAGAATATTCTGATTGTGGGAGACTCTCAGGTAAGATATATGGACTGTGCTTTTTGTAACAGAGATAGGAAGGTCAGACAGAGTGCGTGCCTCCCAGGAGCTGGTGTCAGTGACATAGCAGGTTGGATAATAGCATGCCAGGTTAGGGAAACAAGCCTTTTATCTGTCTTAGTGCTGGTGGAAATGACATGGGGAAGGGCAGTAAGCAGGAGCTGCTGGATAAGTACAGGTCAGCCATAGATGTAGTTAGGTCTAAGGGAGGGATCCCAATCATATGTAGCATCTTGCCTAGAAGGGGAGTGGGAAATGAATGGATGTCTAGGGCATTTGGTATAAATTCCTGGCTAGACAGGTACTGGAAGGAACTTGCAATCCCATTCATTGGTAACTGGGACAAATTCTATTGCAAAAGTGATATGTATGCAAGGGATGGGGTTCATCTCTATGGAGCAGGAGTGGTTGCATTAGCCAATTTGATTGAGAGGGGTCATTGATGATTGTCTAGGACTTTAAACTGGCAGATTATAGAGGTATGAGTGTTTGTGAGAAACAACCAGGCTGCAGTATTAGGGTTGAAAACAGCAGATATCACCGGGATACCTCAAGGATGTGTACCATTGTACCAATACATTGTACCTTTATTCAGTAATTGTTATACTCCTAGTTTTAATAACAATTAAAGGTGTTATAATATTTTTTTCCCTCTTGTCCATATAGTCACATTAATTAAAATACTCCAGGTGCTGTTGACTATCTCAGGTGCTACTGTTTTTTTTTCTTACTCATTCTTTTATTAATATATTCATTAGCTCCTTTATTTTAGCTGTAAATATCTACCGTAGTTCACAAACTCACATTTGTTAAAATATTTAAGATGCTTAAGTGTATAACTGAATTATCTATTCTATAATAATCCCTAGTTCTTTTATATTTTTATAATTTTTTGAATAATTACTGAGTCTTATTCCTAAGTCTAGTTGTAGATTCAATACAAATCTTATAATATTTTACTCAGAAAATCTAGTTTGTAGTCACTCTCATGACTACAATCATAGATCCTGATGTAAACTTTTTACTAAATGAATTACACGAATCAACCAGTAACTGTAATTACTACACAGCAGACCAAGCAAAGACATTACTTAGTGCAAACAATAACATAACCATCTTTAACTACAAT